TTAAACCTTTAAAAAATTCTGTGCTATACACATAGGACAGATATCCTGAATTCATTAATTTATTTTAAAAATAATTAAGCATACGTTTTGTTCAAGGCATTATAAATAATACAAAATATGATTATTTCTGAACTCTAGTCAGTTATAATCTAGTTGGAGAAATAAAGCATGTGGCAAACCAACAATACAAAGAGACTTCATCAAAAAACGTATATTTCTGGTTATGGTAAATAATGAGAATAACATATAGAAATCAGAATTTCAATAGACGCTAATAGACGGATAATATTCTGATAGGTAGAGATGGGGCAAAAGAGCACTCCAAGAGGGGAGTGTCTATAATATCAAAGTAAGGAATTTGAACTTCATTCTGTAACCAGCACTGAACCCTAAAAGACTTCTAAGCAGTAATTTATAAGGAAGGCTCTCTGAAGGCAGTAATAGAACAGATTTGAAAGAGTGAGTTGGGCAAATGTAGGTACAAATTAAATGCCCTTCCTGAGGTTATACAGTTAACCAGACACCCTACCCTACAACTTGCTCCACTGAACACCTATCTTACTGTTTTCTATTATTAGCATATAGCAACAAAAGTTATGCAAAGATACATAATTCGTAAGTTTTTATTAGCAACTTTCACAGTGATAACTCACAAAATTTTCATTTATCATGCTAACACACTAATGTCTTTGGGTAAAATGTTTTGTTATGATACATACAGTATGCCCCTTCATCCCTTTCATATAGTGCCCATTCATAAATGGGCGCTATCTTTCACAGGAGGTGTTCAAAAATACTGGAGAAGCTAATTTATATATTTGAAATAATCAATGATCTGGAAATTGAGATAACACTAATGTAGAATTACAGCATTCTAAGGTATCATTTTGTGATTCACATTCACATACAAAGACTTCCATATCAACAGTTAAATAGTATGTTATAGGAATAATTCCAGCCTCTTTGGTATAGGACAAAACACAATTCATTTCATGAAACACCCATGTCAATGATAAATCATAATGTGTTTTAAATATTAAATAGCAGCTTCATCCTTGAAGCTGAAACTAGTCCTTTTACAATGCCCTTGACAGAAAGACGTCAATTGTTCAATAAATAAAGTCACACTTCTACCACCCCAACTTGACATGCACATACCAAATCTTTTTTAAGCACACTTTTTTGGGGTTCCAAAATATCTAAATGATCCCTGTTGTAAATTCTTGAGTAGTTTTCAGAATTTCTAAGTAGAATCACAAAATAGAGAAATCAAGTTACACTCAAAACTGGTTATATCCTCAAACTAAAAATGAAATAAAAAACCAAAGTATCTACAAAAACTCTTTTGTTCATAAACACATCTAAACAGCACTATACTATATTCTTCAAATTTGGAATATGGGAAGAATTTTCAAGAGATATGACTCTATAACTGGGATTCCATTAGATACTTACGCTATATAACAGTAGCTATAAGGAGTACATGAAAGTTCACTAAAAGAACCATGAAATATAAGAAGTTATTTTTAGAGATTTCACTCTAATATTTCCATAGTTTAATGACTAATCAACATTTAACATATAGCAATTCTCTTGGACATCAAAAAATCCAATTTAGACTAATAAATGCATGTTCCTTCCACAAGGCTAGGTTTCTTTATTAAAACAATACATCCCTCTTAAGTGCATTTAACTTACTAAGAGAGACCCAACAAAATTTGAGGCAAAGTGTGTAATATGTTTTCATCTCTTTGGTGTCTCTCCCTGTCTCCAAAAGCCCTCAAGTGGCTTTTAAGACTTCAACTACTCCGTAAAACCCTTCTTTAGATCCTCAAAATTCACTTTATTCTACAAAGTGTATATACTTGCATATACAACCTCTCCAATATCAAAGCTTTCATGTTCTCATGCAAACATTTTAGCCCAATTCAGTATAAATTATGTGGGATAAATGATAGCTCAATTTAGCTATAGGTGTTTACACATTTGGAGGAAGTATGTTAACCTAAATTTATTTTAACTTACATAGTTTCAGTAAGTGCAGAAAATAAAAAATCAAAATAAAAAATTTCAGGTTCACCAAAAAAAAAAAAAGAGACATAATTCAAGAATAGGAGACTGAAAGTTGAAGTCTGACACCTGTTCCCCATTCGCCCAGTTCTATAATCAAAGAGCTTAAAATCAACTGATCCAATACTTTATTTTTAAAGTGATGAAGCTGATGCCAAAGGTCAAGATTGACCACTCATAAGCCTACAGCACTTTGCAGCCTTCCCCAAGATATCATTTCATTTCATTTCACCTCATATCTCTGGACCCAAAGATTTCCTATAACCTAACTTTCTGTACACTGGACCTTAATAGTAGTGGCCCCAGGACTTCTGTAAAAGGTAGCTCTTTGTGTGTAGGGTAGCAGTTTAAATGAAGAGTATGAGTAGTTTTAAATTCCAGGATTACCTTCGATTTACACAGCATTTTTTACACAATAACTCCAAAAGTAAAAAAAAAAAAAAAACACAAAAAAACCACCAAAAACAGATATTCTCAATATTCATAAAACAGGGGGGATTTTTGTTTCTTTTACGGAAGATTAAAGTAACTTACAGGCTTCTGGTCTATTCATCCCTCATAGTTAGTTGAATTCTGCCTAAAAATAAGTTAGGTCCACCTTTTTAGAGATAAGGAAAGTTAAAATTTTAATCTTTACAATTTTTTACATTGCAGTGAAATCGCTCACTAAACTCAGAAGATAATTTAAAATTCAAGTTATAATTATTTTTTCAGCATGTGCTTTATATAGGTATATGCACCCAAGCATAAAAAAGTATTCAATTGGCAGACACAATGTAAATGAATTAGTATTTTATTTAAGAACCAAATGATATACCATATTTTTCTTTTCAAAAAATGCAAGGGGGGGGTGGGCTGGGATGGGAGTAAAAGACAGAAAACTGTACTTGAACAACAATTAAAATTTTAAAAAACTGTAATAACTATATGGTATCAGATGGGTACTAGACTTATCGAGGTGATTATTTGTAAGGTATATAAATGTCTAATCACTACGTTGTACGCCTGAAATTAGTATAATATTACGTCAAGTGTAACTAAAAAAATTTAAAAATTATTTCAAAAAATGCAATCAACCGCCAGACAGAAGTCACAATGTCGGCTTTATAACAGCCTACCTTGTTTTAATATATATTTAAAAATTAAGTCAACCGAAACTTAAAGGTAAAAGTCTGATTCACAGTATATGATAGTCACATAAAGGAAAAACCAGAAATGTCTCAATCTCATCACCACATTTACCAGGGATGTGAGGATAGCAAAGGGTGTTCAGGTGGTTAAACAGAGAGCTGAGGGTTTTAACTAATTTAACTAACGTCAGTATTTCACACAGATCTAATAAAGCCAAGGTCACAACCTATTCCCACATGGTCAAGTTACCTCTGGAAAGATAAAAACTTCACTCTGACATCGATTAGTGCCGCCTTCTTTTAAGAAAAAGAACAAGAACACTTTTATACCCTGTTTTGTAGCCTCTATAGACAGTTCGCAAAGAATATAGTGTATCTCATCCACTATTTACTTTTTAAGCCTTTTTTCTTATCTACTCGGCAATTAGATACAAGAAAGAAAAAAAACAGGATTCACAGCAAGCAAGAAACTGTTTCGTGCTCTCCCCAAATTTATTTCCAGCTGTTAATATCTCTGATGTAGTGCGAACAGATTTGAGTTCTATTTCAGCCCCTACTAACTCTCCCCCCGCCCCCAACAAGCACAATTCTCTACTCAAGAGTCCAAGAGCAGCAGAAAAAAAGGACCAGCTTGCAAATGGGGAGATGTTCGGGGGACGCAAGAAATTAACCAGACCTTTAGAGAAGAAATAAAGAACTCTAGCTGTAGTTGCCAGAAATAAGTTATGAGAGGCCTGTAAAGTCTGGCACTGGATAAGAAGTCTAACACGCTTACCCTAACTCCACATCAACGGCCTTTAAAGCAAAGGAGGGCTGGGAACACAACAGCCGCTAGCTTTCTAATTGTGGAAAGTTTAAACAAATTTGTTCATGGGAAACCGGGGAAGGGAGAGGAGGGTAAGTCCGGGCTCAGCCGAGGGAGCGCGCGGGGTCTGCCCTGTGCACGACGGTCGGTCCAACGCAGTAAGGCACAGGATTTTTGGCAGCAGCAGCAACTGTATCCGCCCCGGAGCCCCAGCCGGAGGACGGGCCCGGACCCCGGATCCCGGGTCAGAGTAGGTGGAACAAGGAGGTGGACGGCCAAGATGAAAGGGTCTGCGCGAAGGGTAAAAGGCCTGGGACTCTGGGTGGAAGTTGAGGGCGGGGTGGTGCCGGGACGCCGGGGAGGGAGCGCAGAGAGGCTACGGGCAGCTCTACTTACTCGGCAGTACCAGATGCTGAGGCGGGCCGAGGCCAGCACTGCGAAGAAAGTCCTCTGGGGATCGGACTGAACGTGGAAAGGCGTCTCGGCCGTGCTCCCCAGAGGGCAGAGCAGCCTCTTGGGCCAGCCGCTCAGGAAATACATGGTCCGCGCGGAGCCGCACAAGCCGCGGCGCCCGGCGGCCCCCGGCCCCGTCCGTCACACTCAGTGGCCCGGGGCCGGACGCCTGCCTCCTACACCGCCGCCGGCGGAGTCGGCGGCGACGGCGGCTGCAGCAGCTTGGGGCATCTGCCCGCTGGCCTGGCCTGGCTGACGCGTTGCTAAACTACGAAGACACCTCTGGAGCTGACGGGGTACGGGGTACGGGGTACGGGAAGGAGGGAGGAGGGAAAAGCCTGGACTAAGAGGGGGCGGGCAGAGTGCGGAGACCCGCCCCAGCCCCGCCCCATTCTCGGGCCGCGCGGGCGTCACCACTGCGCGCCGCGTGGGAAGGTTAGCGCGCGCGCGCGCGCGCACTGGAGACTTCTCCCTTTCCCCCCCTCCCCCCCTCTGAAGCCCCGCCCCAATCTTCACCAGCGACCTCCGCGCAGAGTCTTTACGTAAGAGGTATTGCCCCTCTCCGGCTTCTTTGCGCCTCCTACTTGCAATCTTGAGGTGCACTCCTGGCCAGGAAGGCGGGGTGATCGCCGGAGTCTGGGAGGCCGGGAGGCAGAGCCAGGCGTGACGGTGCTGCGATACTTCTTTTTTTGCGCTACACGCCTCTCCTCTGGCCCAGCCAAATATGACTTCTCTTGTGGATTGGTAAGACCTTTAGTGAGAGCTGCCCAGCGTTGCTCGGCCTGGGCGGCATGGACTGGGGCGAGAAGGGGGAAGATGGGGGGGGGGGGGGGGAGCGCGGGGAGCGAGGGATACGGGATACGTGACCCTGGCTGCTGGAGCTCCCACCTAGGGCTCCTGGCCGCGACTTCAGTGCTCGGCAGTTGGGTCCCTGGACCAGTAATCTCACTGTGTGCTGTGAAAGCTGGTGGTGAAGTTCCCGCCCTCGTGGAGTGCACATCTGGAAGAGGCCTTTAATTCAATCCGTAAATAAACAACCAACGACGAAAGAGCCTGAGTCCTGTCCTTTGTCCTTTAGGAGTTTAAATCTAGTATATATTTTTGAATTCAGTTTGCATTCATCTGTCCTTTTGCCAGTTACACATTTTGGACAAGGTGAGGTTTGTCTGTCTCTTGTACCCTCCGTAGAGTATGTGCCAGGAAAGACTTGGACCTCAGTTCAGAGCTGGAAAGGACTTTAGACGTTATGTAGTTTAGTGTTTAACTTTTGGACCACAGAGATCACTTTAACAACTGTTTGTTTTATTGACCCAGTGATTACCTGTGAATAAGAGGACAGCATGAACGGGGATTGAGTAGAGTGAGAGTGGGGTGGGGGTCTGGGAAAAAAACTTGCTTCTGATTGTTTATCTTTTTTGTACAGTTTGAATTTTTCTATATGTTTATATTACCTTTTCAATTAATTTGTGTTAGCCCAGGTTAAAAACAAAACAAAAACTTAACTCACATTTTAAAAAGTAGCAATGTAGACAGCAAAAAAAAAAGTAAATCCATATCATATGGAGCATTGTAGCTGGTAGTCACAACAAAATATGTAACTTTACAAAATTTTTCTGAACATTCACTGCATTCCACAGAAGGTGAATCAAATAACCCAGATTCCTCAAATCAAAGTTGAAACTGCCTCACCACTTGCCAGCCACTTGTGGTCAGACTGTGTCTCCTTCATGGTGTTCCCGCCCCCCACATGCAACACAGCAGCCTGGAACATAGTAAGAATAGTAAACTTTGAAAATATTTGTCAAATGAAATACTGGATGAAACCCTGATCCAGCTGAACTACACCATTAGACAAAAAAAGAGACCCAGAGGTTTCTTGACTTGCCAATATAAAATTGTAGAAGAATAACAATTGCATCATACTTTTTTCTAACTTAGATTCATTTATGCAATTAGCAGGAAAAGAGAGGGAATGAAAATAAAGTGCAGCAATTCTACTGGCAGTTTTACTGAGAGTGCACTTGTCTCAGCTGTGGTCAGAGGGTCTTTGTTCTCAAACTCCTAAGTGTAAGCATCTTTCTGCACTCCTGTCCAGTTTAAGGAACTTCTAAATAACTTGTTGCAATCAGTTTTTACTTTACTTGGCTGGCTTTAGAATTTAATTCCCCTGCCACAGTCCCTTGTAACAGTTAAGATTCACAAAATATTTTCACATGTATGACTTGATTTATTCCACAGTAAATCTTCAAGGTAGGTGTGATGTTATTCTCATTTTCCTAATGAGGAAACAGGATCCGAAGTGGTAGAAGAGCCTGAAGCCACAGGGCATGAAAAGAACTTATCTTCCTTCTACAGACCCAGTGATTTTTAGACTGGATTGAAGTGATTGTAGTTGCTTCCTCCAGTGAGAGGGAGAGGAGGAGATCCTCTGGGCCTTTCTCCCTGTGGGAGAAAAAGTATAATAATCTGACTCTTCACAGCCCCCTGCTTAAAAGAGTTCCTGCATTGTGATAGAAACCTTTTGGACTTGATTTTTCAACTTTCAAGTATCACACTCCAACTTTATTTTGTAAAATCTATTAGCAATTCCTATGCTCTGTATCTTGCTTCTCCCCCTTTCCCTACCCCATCACCAGCACTCTAGTCAAACTTACTGAACTCTGTTCTGAGCCAAGACTAAACTGATACGAGAAAGTTAATAGGTACATGCTTTCATCTATCAAACTAACAGGCTTCTTTGTATTACAATAAATGTTGGTAAGGGTACACAGGAACAGAGATACATTTGTAAACTCAGTGGGGATATAATTTGGTGCAACTTTTCTAAAGGGTAGTTGGCATTACATTAAAAAAGAGATCTTAACAATATGCATACCCTTGGCCTCAGCTATCTTTCCCTATGATTATTTTCTAAGGAAATAAACACTGATGTACAGAGCTTTTAGCTTTCACAATGCACCCCATAAAGTTGTCGCTAAAGGGAAATAAGCTAAATGTCCCCCCAACACACATTAATTATAGTTCTTTCTTACAAGGGAATATTGTATAAGAATAAAGAACTATGTTGGGAAAGAATATTTAATCATAGAAGTATTTCACTATACTATAATGAAAGCAGATTAAAGACAGTATGTAAAATATATATGTTCACAAAAAACATGTGCTTAGGAAAAAAGAAAAGACACTATAATATCGGTGCTGCCTGCTGATTAGAGGTGCTTTTTATATTCCTTTTTGGGCTTGTATTTTTCAAATTGTCTCTAATGAACTCATTACTTTTGCAGTAAGGAAAAAAGTTATGTAAAACAGTTAAGTTGCTAATGATTGATAATGTCCCACTTACCCTGATTTAAGTGGGGCCTGCAGTGCTAGCAAATCAAAGGAAGTAATGTAGTAATGTGGAATTTTCAGGCACAGTCCCAAGACTAGTGAGAGGAGGATTAGCAGGAAAGGCACCCTGAGTCACCAGACTAAAAGTAGGCCTTGTGTACGTAACACATTCACAGACTTCTGATGACAGCACAGAACCAAGACCAGAATTTGGTCCCAAGCATACCACTCCCAATATTTGATGACCTCCATAACAGCCAATAATAATATTCACTAAAGGTGATAATGCTTTAATTTATGACTCTTTAATACACTTTTAATATTCAACCTTATACTTTTATGTGCAACTAACGTATTTGCGTCTGGGTTAGACTGTGTGTGTGTGGCTACTACACTACCATATAGATTGACCACTGAAAATGTCCCTATACTTCAGATATCAACATATATAATCAATATATTACAAAAATTACATTATTTAAACAAAAACAATTCATATGTGACCATGCTAGATTCTGGATTATCATTTATCCCCTTTTGAAGCTGAATATCTCAGCTTGAATGATAAGATGTCTGGGTGTTGCTTCAGAATAATCTGGGGATGAGTAGAGAAGGTGAAAATATATGAAACAAGGTTGGCCATGAGTTGGTAATTTTTGAGGCTAAGTGATGGGTACTTGGGAATGCATTGTGTTATTCATGCTACTTTTCTATGTGGTTGAAATTTTCAATAATAAAAAGTATAAACATTTAAATTAAAAAGAACATCTTAGTAACTGTGGTCATAGGTGACGAACCAGTCTACCTTGTCCACAATCCTCCTCATAGTAAACAGTGTTAAATATTACTTGGAAACATTTAATTAACCTTGAAGGCAGAATGGCTTATTATTAATAAGCCTTAGTGGATGCAAATGAGACTTCCTAGGCTGGTGAATGAACACAAACTAGAAAATAAAGTAAAGAAACCCATTGTTCCTAATCAAGCAAAATGGGATATGTTTAACCATGTCTAAGTAATTTTTCCAGTATAAAAAATACAACACCTGAATTTTCTGTGTATATTCTTTGTTAAAACAGCAAGAGGATTTGGAAAGAGAAATTGTTTAACCCAATAATGTGAAATAGTACAGTTTGCCATAATTCCAATCAGATATCTCACTCTTCTTCCTCCTTCTCTACCTATATTTCTTCCTCCTCTTCCCCCTTCTTCTCCCCATCTATTCAGACAAATATGCATATGAATTGCACTGTTCCTTTATTACCTATATTTATCAATAAGCTTCAGGTCAAATTTAGTTGTTAGTTGTAACAAACCATTTTGGATTGTTACCAGGATGTAATAGTTTGGGCTTCTGTCTTATTCTCATCCATTATTCTTATCTTTCCACTAGGTTTATCTGACAACTTCAAGAATTATAAACCCCAAATGAGTACTGTTCTAGCAATTAACAGGTTCCATGCAATTTTTCTCAAACCAACCTTAATAGTAACTGTATAACTGTTATGTTCTGTAACAGTTCAAAATATTATAAAAGGGCAACACTGTTCTTTTTATTATTACCTTTTTAGAGTTTATGTTCTTCTATTGTGGTAAACACCAAACAAAATTTACTGTCTTAACCATTTAAATCTACAGGTCAGTAGCATAATTATATCCACATTGTTGTGAAACAGCTCACCAGAACTTTTTCATCTTGCAAAACTGAAACTCTGTGTCAGTACCTGATAACCACCATTCTACTTTCTGTTTCTTTACTTTAGTTGCCTCAAATAAGTGGAATCATACAGTATTTGTCTTATTGTGGACCAGCTTTCTCACTTAGTGTAATGTCCTCAGGGTTGTAGCACATGACAGGATTTTCTTCCTTTTTAAGCCTGAATAATATCCCATTTTGTGTGTGTGTGTGTGTGTGTGTGTGTGTACACCACGTTTTGTTTATACATTCATACAGTGATGGCTAAATGGGTTGTTTCCACCTTTTGGCTATTGCGAATAAAGCTGCTGTGAACTCTGGTGTACAAATAATTGTTTAAGTTCCTGCTTTCAATTCTTTTTGATACATATCCAGGAGTAGCATTGCTGTATCATATGGTGGTTCTATTTTTAATTTTTTAGGAACCTCCATACTGTTCTCCATAGAAGAGAGGTTGCACCATTTTATAATCCTACTAATAGTGCACAGAGGTTCCAATTTCTCCACATCCTTACCAACACTTGTTATTTTATGTTGTTTTTATACTAGCCATTTTGGTGCATGTGAAATGATATCGTGGTTTTTATTTGCATAACTGATTATTAGTGATGTTGAACATCTTTTCACATATTAGGCCATTTGTATATCATTCTTGAAGAAATGTTATTATTACCTCTGATACAATGTCACATCAGCAGGTGTACACCAAAAGATAAAGCTCAAAGGCAAAACTTTGATTTTAAGCTTCAGACTATGTAATTTCATATTCTCTAACAGTTATGAATGTAATTAATCCTTATGCTCAAAGAATTGTGAGAATCTTACAAGTATGACCTGGTCAGTATGGGCCTGAAATATTATATAGCCCAATTTACAGACCCAACAGAAATGTAAGTGAATGTCATAGAATGAATTTAAATATATTTCAAACATAGAAATAATTTATAAAAACCTAAAGGGTTAATATAAAAGGAACATACCTATTAAATTGAATACTGAACAAACTTGATTATAAGTACCTGAAA